TTATTTTCGCTGGAATTAATTTTCGCTGAAAGACTTTTTGGGCGTTTTGTATGGAATTTATTTTCACTGATTTTGATGAGTTTAATGTGAAATATAGGAAAAAAAGTATATTCACTGGATTTTATTTTCACGGTATCCATCTTCAGCGAAAATATCGAAAATAAATTCCAAGCGAAAATAAAGTATTCTACAGTATTAGCGGTGAAAGATTGGCATATTTAGGCTCACATGGCAGTGCAGGAAATATTTAGGCTAACTTGTTTATTTGACCTTCTGCTAAAGTTGGGTGTATTAATTTCCACATGTGATGGAAGGTTATTGTCAGTATTGATTAAAATGCTTATAAACTAATCCATTCAACAACTGCATTAGTAGAATAGTTATCAATTATAATGTGTGCATTCTGATATGATACTGTAAGCTTACATGCTGGATTTTTCCAAGAAATCTCCTGACAAACTAATGTGGTAAAAATAATGTTTCATGTTTGTCGTCTAAATTAATATAGAAAATGCTTTGTTAGTCCCCGTCTGACGCAGTCTGAAATGGGGACTTATGTTTTGGGTGCGTGCGTCCGCCTTCATTTCTCAGAGACGTCTGAACAGATTTTCTGCAAAGCTGGTACAAAGACAAGTCATAATGGGAGACAAGTGCACATCAATTTATTTTTGCTTTGGTTGACCTTTGACCGACTGGCGGTCATTTTTGTCAACTGTTTCTTGAACAAGCCTTCATTCAAACATCTGTCATGGGGGGGGGGTTACTGATGCACGTAATTTTTTTTTCTAAATTTGATTTAAAATGGGCGGACTGGTGGCAATTTTGTTTTTTAAGGAGTGTTCTGCTCATTTTACAGAGATGATTGTACAGATTTGGGTTAAATTTTGTACAAAGGCAAGATATAATAGGTTAAATGTTATTTTCAGTTTTTTTTCGTTTTTCCTCGAAATTTAGCCAAACGGTAACCATTTTCCTCAAAAACAAATAAAATCACAAATCAATCATTTTTGAATGTCAATGAAATTGTGCATATTCACATCCATTTGTTTTTAACGGCCTTTGGCCAAGTTTTAACCAATTTTGTCTTCCAAACAGTTGCTGTTTGTCTGTAACGTTTCTTGAGCACGTCCACTGAGAATTACATTACTTCTGATGTGCGACTGCTGCAAATCAGTTTTGCAAGTTGATCAAAAATTGCTGGCTTTTGACTGTTACATGCATTCTTCTGTCTGTCATTTCTTGTGCATCCCTGGAACGTCTTTTTTTTGTTTTTTTACATGTGAATATCGCTTTGTTTTATTTTGTTGACCTTCAACTGACAGCCATTAATTGTCCCAAAAATCAACATTTGCACATGTCGTTAAAAGTTCCTGGGGCTTCCCTTGACCAATTTCATTCAAACATGACAGGGACTATGTCATTGACAATGACTTCATTCATCAAAATTAATCTTTAGTAAACTATGTTGTAGAATTATTTGTTGACTGTTTTCTGTGACAAGCTTATACATATACAGACATTGTTAATTTGCTATCTTAAACAAATCAACTACAAAACTGAACAGCTAAGTATGTTACTGCCACAGAAACTATGTTTAACTAAATCACTCTTGTTGGTTCTATTATCAGGCTGAATCTTATCAAGCTAGAAGAGACAGTAAGAAGCATTTCTTATATGAAGTAAGTAACATTAGTATTTTTTGCTAATAACTTTCTTAAAAGTTTTAAACACTTTTAACATATATTGTGCAATTCTTCACTTTAATTGCATGTAACACAGTTACAGGCACAGCCTGAAAAGGGGAGTATAGTTTCTTATTTCGATCCTGTTTCCGTCCGTCATTTTCTTTACATGTCTAACATTTTCTCAGAAATTCTGTAGCACATATCGATGAAACTTGACAGGTTGATGAACAAGTCTCTGTTGAATATGCGCGTATTATTTTTAGTCCCCGTTCGGACGAAGTTCGAAAACGGGGACTTATAATTCGGTCTCCGTCCGTCCGTGTGTCCGTGCGTCCGTCCGGAGTCATATCTCAGAATCCCTTGGACCGATTCTGTTCATTCTTTGCATGTGTCTAGTACTTTATGTGGGACATATGCACATGCAGTGGTTTAGCGATTCGATTCAAAATGGCCGACTGGCAGCCATCTTGTTTTTTGAAAATGTTGTATTTTGGACATGCTTTGTCAGTTTTTATTCAAACTTGGTACATAGATTATACATGTTAGGATACATGTCCATGATGATTTATTTCACAATTGGATCAAAGATGGCCGACTGGCAGC